CCCGCAGAATCTTTTTAGCCATCGTGTGCCCACTGGAATGGGTGCCAAAAGTTCCTTCATGTAGATCATCCATGATCTTTTCTGCCCCAACCTTGTCTATGCAACGAAGAAAAACAGAGTCGTGGTTGCGCTTGTAGAGAGTGCCATTACTAAGGAAGAACTTAACAGAGAATCTTCTCAAGAACTTCTTATCATTGACTGAAGCTCCCTCCAGATACTCTTGGGCCTCGAGATACCTCTTAACTTCATGGAACCAAGGCTGGTCCACTACTTCTTCAGTATCGATCTCGTGATAGTAGGCTGGTTCGTCCATCCGCTCAATGGTGATCTGGGGAGCCTCGTTACCCCACTTGAGTTTAAACATGGATGACATAGTGGCTAGCGCGTTTGCTAGTTGATTTTCCTCTCGTGGAAAAATCTCAAAGGTAATTTCCTCGAATTGTGGGATTAATGTCAACACATGTTCTTTGTAGGGGATGAGGTTAGGGTGCTTCGTGTACCATTCTCCTTTGATCTGACTGATGACTACGGTTGAATCTCCAAATACACTTAAGAACTTGATTCCCAAATCTATGGCAGCTTTGAGACCAAAAATACACGCTTCATATTCTTCCATATTATTAGTACAGTTGAAATAAAGTCTTGCAGTGAAGGGAGTATGGCATCCTTCAGGGGATATGATTACAGCACCTATGCCATTGCCAAGTGCATTGGAGGCTCCGTCAAAAACTGAGGTCCATCGGGATCCTTGTTCAGGTCTGTCATATGGTCTGAGTTCTTTGCAATTGTTTACCATCATGATGTCTTCATCTGGGAACTCGAATTTCATGGACTGATAGTCATCCACAGCTTGATGAGCAAGGTGATCGGCTAGTACACTGCCCTTTATTGCTTTTTGGGTAGTGTACTGAATGTCGTATTCAGTCAGGATCATTTTCCATCTTGCTATTCTCCCAGAGAGGGCAGGCTTCTTGAATATGTATTTAATTGGATCCATCTTGGATATCAATAAGGTAGTATGGGTCAGCATATATTGTCTTAGTCGGTGAGCAACCCATGCCAGAGTGCAGCAAGTTTTCTCGAGCAGTGAATATCTTGTTTCACAGTCGATAAACTTTTTGCTCAGGTAGTAAATAGCATGCTCTTTTCAGCCAGACTTGTCATGTTTCCCCAGCACACACCCCATTGAATTTTCCAAGACAGTTAGATACATGATCAAAGGTATTCCCTCGACTGGAGGCATCAAAACAGAAGGCTCTTGTAGGTACTCCTTGATCTTGTCAAAGGAAGCTTGGCATTCATCATTCCATTTGACTACTTGATCTTTCTTCAGTAATTTGAAGATTGGTTCACAAGTAGCGGTTAAGTGAGAAATGAATCTGGCGATATAGTTAAGTCGTCCTAAGAATCCTCTGACTTCCTTCTCGTTGCAAGGAGCAGGCATTTCTTGTATTGCTTTCACCTTGGCAGGGTCCACTTGGATACCTTTACCGCTGACGATGAAGCCTAGGAGTTTATGAAATTCTGGCTGCAGATACTCAATGTCACGTCCAATGTTATGACACCGTATCTGACTTACTATATGACAGTAAATACAAAAGCAGTAAATAACACAGTCAATTGTTTACCCAGTTCAGTGTGCAACAACACCTACTCTGGGGGCTACCAAGCCAGGGAGAGAATCCACTATAAGAGATGTTAATTCAGGAATAAACCAACCAGCTTATCTCCTTCACTTAAGACCTACTCAATGCAATTCTAATCTAAGTACAACTTAAACCTGAGTTCCTACTCACTCCCCCTCAATCACAGCAGTGATACATAAACCAATTTGACTTAAGAATTGATGAAGACACTCTTCAAAACACACACTTGATTAAGCTTCACAGCTTTTTAATCAAGTAACACAATCACTCGTGCTTCACAGCTTTGAGTGATGTACACAACTAACTTGACTCTGCTTCACAGCTTTAGTCAAGTAACATTCAAACACTCTTGCTTCAAAGCTTTGAGTGCTACACAACCCTTACAATTGAAACCTATTCCAAGGCACTTATCACAATGATAATTGCTTGGAGTACAATAAACAAATCTATACAGATTACAAAATTGATCTTCTAATCAATCAGCAGGGATATCTTGAAAAACCGCAGCTCTGTTGAATATATAGCAGCTGTAACTTCAGTTAGGGTTTCCAAAAACCTAGGGTTGATTCCGTTTGACCTAAAGACCAGGTCACAGTACTTTATTGATCAGGTTAGGATTGAGCTAGGTTACTCCTCAGAAAACGCAGGATTCTGTTCAGAAAGGACTGAGTTATTTCCTGAAAAAACTCAGACTTATCCAATCCTGCAATCCTGTTAGTTCAGAACAGGATGTCATAACATCTGTTATGACATCTGAGAAAACCTGTCTACTGATTAGCAAAATGTGATCATTTTGCAAACATGCTCAGATACACACTTATAAACTTCAGTATTTGAATTACAATATTTTTCTGCACATGTACCTATTGAGTTAGTACAACCTGAACTAGAATGTTATGACATCAGTCATGACATTCACACATACACTTGGGATTTACCAAAAATGCAAGCCAATACCTAAACACCTACAGTTTACCGGATCTCACCCCAAATGTGCATTTATTCGGGTTCAGCCTTAGCTTGTATTTCTTTAGCCTTTCAAATAGTTTCTTCAAATGGTCAAGATGTTCCTCTTCAGTTTGAGATTTGGCTATCATGCCATCCACATAGACCTATATTTTGTGATGGATCATGTCGTGAAATAGAGCTACCATGGCACGCTGATAGGTTGCCCCAGCGTTCTTCAACCCGAATGGCATAACCTTGTAACAGAAAGTGCCCCACTATGTGACGAAGGTTGTTTTCTCCATGTCCTCAGGTGCCATTTTGATTTGATTGTAGCCTGAGAAACCATCCATAAATGAGAACATTTTATGTTGTGCGGTATTATCAACCATAATATCGATATGGGGAAGTGGGAAATCATCCTTAGAGCTTGCCCTATTCAAATCTCGGTAATCCACACACATGCGCACTTTGTCGTCCTTTTTAGGCACTGGAACAACATTGGCGACCCATTATGGATAGGAGGTGACGACTAAGAATCTGGTGTTGAATTGTTTCGTGACTTTAGTATTGATCTTCTCTGACATGTCTGGCCGTATGCGATGGACTTTCTGTTTTACCGGATGCCAATCTTCTTTTGTTGGTAGATGATGTACCACGATATCAACGTCAAGTCCTGGAATGTCTTTGTACAACCAGGCAAAGACCTCAACATAGTCATGTAGTAACTGAGTTAAGCGCTTCTTGACACTCGGTTCCAGATTGGCACCACCTTGACTTCTTTCTTGTCCTCTTCGATACCTAAGTTAAATGTGTCCACTGGCTCTTCGTGGGGCTGTATGGTCCTTTCTTCCTATTGTAGTAACCTGGCTAGTTCCCCTGGCACTTCACAATCTTCCTCACCTTCGTCTTCGGCTTGATAGATTATATTTTCAAAGTCACAATAGGCCATAGCAGAATCGTTACCCATGGGATCCTGAGTGGATGTAGATCTGCATTTTGATATGTGAGTGTGTGTAAGAGCATAGCTATTTTTTGAAAGAAATAAAAATGTAGAAAAAGAAAGACAAAGAGCACAAATTTTGCATGCAAAAACGTCCATGATTCATTGATGACATATGAAAATGAGGTAACAACCCTTACAAATGGACCGTTGTGCCTCGGGTAAGACACAAGGTTTTAAAAGTCTGAATTGTTTAATTATTACAAGTCCGACAAAAATTTAAAGACAATTATTGTGGGATAAAAGTAATTGGGACAAAATCTTTGGCTTCCCAGTTGGTGACTCCTCTGTTGATGGTTGGGAAAATCCATTCTTCCAGGTCACAGCTTGTCATACCCTATTTTTTGCCCCTAATCTGTCCATTCATAACATCATATGTATTTACATCATAAATCTTTCATTCATGTGAGATATTAAAACATGGGCTCAAATGGCTCTTGATATTAGGGTTTTCCCCTATGAATTGAGGTTACTGTCTCTCTCAAGTTGATCCCACTGTTCCATTTATCACTCTTGGTATAAAACCAGAGTTTTGGATCACAAGCATCATGGATATTTTCCTTGGCAAGATTCCTCGAGATACAAGTTTCTCTTCATCTGAATTTCTTTAAGAAACCAGCGTATTAAGATTTGACTTGTGTACTCAAGACTTTATCATGAATTCACTGTGAATGTCCTTGAGCTAGGTTTTATTCCTCTCGAAGTCTCAAGCTTTCTTCATCAATGTGCACTCAGAGAAAATGCATTAGGGTTTCTCCTATCTTGCTTGAGCATTGATAATGATTCTTGAACAAAGTTCATCATGCTAGGGTTTACATCTTATCATGCTTGAGTTTGTCAACATTTCAATTGAAATTCATTGGACTTCATACTTCAAGTCCTATCATTCATCTTTAAGGCGTTCCTCGGGACATTAATTTTGTTGCAAGATTAATAGTTATCACGCTGGGACGATTTTGTGAATTAAACTGCGAAGCATGAATAATGGCAGAAGGCATAAATTTGTGGATTCTTTGTGACCAAGACATTCTTCCTCTAGGAGTTATTTTGGTTAAAGGACTGCTTGGATATATTTCTCAACTGATTGAGATATGGACTAAGGTCATTTGGAATAAGTTGCCTCACTTGCAAGATAATGCGGATCTATGAACTCAAGTGAAGTTAAGGTTCATTTTTTAGGTATACAAGATTGGAGGGATCGTTCATGGCTAATTTCTCGTGATTCAAGTGACAAAGGCTTATATTATGATCATGTAAGATTGCGAAGCATAGGTAATTTGTTCATAAAATCTTATTCAATATGTTCTAAAGGCTCAAGTGTGTTCATTTTTTATATCATTTTAATACTTTTATTTAATGGCATCCCTCATGGTTTTGCAAACAAGGTCCTTTTGTTTAAGAGGTGATCATCCAAAATAAGCAAAATATGTCAACTTGTGGTGCCATTTCTTCAACCGGATATTAAAAAAGTAGAAACCATGTTTTGCCTTGTACTGCACAAAAATAAGGAATTATAAGACATTTTGTTATGTGTTCCTAAAGCTATGCTAAACTCCTTGTCAAGTTCTTCGTGCATGTGCTAATCGTCACCAACAGACTTTGAGCAATGAACTTCGAGCATCCTTACTTTGATATCAACACAATCTCAGCCTTGTGTCCTTACCTTTATCACGTTAATTCCCGCTTCATATGACTCCAAAGATTTTGCACACTTGCACCTTTTCCATACCAGGATATAACCTGCATAACATTAAACCAGAAGATACCAAGCAGAAGAGAAAAATTATAAATCAAAATAGAGCCAAGACCAATGAGAATATTGAGAAATAATTTCCTGTTTGGCAGATAATTCAAAGAAAACTCAGAAAGTCAGCATAACTACAATTCCAGTTAGGAGCTCCAAGTCATGTTCAAACTTGTTACTAACTTAGTCCAAAATCTTTTTCAAATAATAATATGTGAAACTGTGTCCAAAGTGGTTCTTAAACCCGACACTGCATCACTTAAAACCGCAACCTGCAATGTAAAAAGGACTTGTCCAATTTAAAAAGCAGAACAAAAATACCAGGAAAAAAAAGGCTGGTATCAGCATTAAGGTGAAAAAAGGTATTCGAGCTCAGCATTAAACTCAGATAATAGATTTTTTTTAGAAATTTAGATTAACATTGCAAGCTGGAATGAGAATCCATCCTATCCATCTTATCCATTCAGATGATAACTAACTATCCAAATATCCAATGGTTCAGATTGACCTTACCTGTTGAGAAGATTCTCAGACAAGCCAAGCCAACTGATATATAACAGATTTATCTTCAGATCCAGAGAGAGAGAGGGAAGAAGAAAAAACATTATTTCACTTCGGCAGAAAAACTTCTCAGATAAGTTTTTAGAGTTATCTCTGAACTTCTCTGTGGCTTCAACACGATTCATTGAGCAATTCACTCTCAAACTTCAATCTTGTTGTTCTGTGATACATATTCATTCATTCACAAAAAAATATCTGAGAGAAAAACCACAAAATAGGATTCATAAAAGCTAGGATTCATTCATGATCAAGAAACTCACCAGAGATTTATCAATATTTCTCTCTGAAAATCACAATTCTACAAGAAATCATTCTTCAAATTCTCTCTCAACAACAGCATCCTTCATCGATTTCTCTACAATTTTCGCTCTCATCATCAGCTATTCTGCAACACTCAACAACGCTGCTACAAATTCAGAGCAGTAAACAAAAAGTAGAAGAAGAGAATTCTCGAAATATAGAAGCGCATAGAGGAAGAAATTAGGATATAAAGAATTTCCTAAATCAAATCTGGTTTCTCTTTTAAGCATTCTCGAAGAGCCATCGGAGCGTCTCCGATCGATAATCCTCGAACTCTCCTTTCTCTCCGCATATGCTTCTTATCGTGATGATGCAGAACTATGTTTCTTTTCTTTTTTGAATCACCTAAATCCGTGTTGCATTTTTAAAATTATGTGTCACCCTTGAACTCCATGACATTGAGTGGAAGATTGAGTAGACAACAAGTTGAAGCAGAACGAAGTTGATACGTGACTGAAGCGCGAAATCGCGAGTGGACGAAGAAGCAATGGTGATTGTTGAGACGGTGATACTGAGCAAAGGTGAGGTCGAGGAGTTTTGAACAAGCATCATTTGACTTGAGCTGGAACGGAGATGGAAGGAGGGACTTATGTGGTGGCCGAAAGCGGAGATGAGACGGTGTTGGAGATCGTCGGAGCGAAGATGAACAAGATCTGAGAACGGATCTATGAGTAACGAGACGAGGCGAACACGACGGAGGTTAGAATCGCGACTGGATGGTGGTAGGGATTTGTGCTTCTGCAAGGTAAGGCGAGAGAGTGCGGCCACAATGTTTGCTTGAGAGACGAGGAAGTTGAGTTTGTGGAAGCTGATGAGTCACAAAAATTCAGCCCTAGTCCCTTTTCTATAAACGACGATGTTCTTTTTTTTTCTTTTTTTTAAAAATTGTTTTATTAAATAAAAACTTGAATTAAAAATAATGTTGAATTCTTTTTAAAAAAAAGAAATTGGATTGGGGTTTATGATTGTTGTTTGGACCGGGTTGGGCTTTTCTGCTTCCTTGAGCCCGTTAATTTATTTGTTTTTAGTATACTAGCCAAGTGCAACAAAAACTCTCTTGGACTGACTTTGCTGGGTTGGACCTCATTACCAAGGCCTATTGCAAGTTTTTTTTGGAGCTTACAGCATTAGAACCAAAAATTGCTTCCTGGATCTTTCTGACTGGGCCTTAGCGCCATTTTCTGTACCACACCCCTGGGTTCTAATTACACACCTCCCTAATATTTTTCCTTCCGTTCTTAATTGTTTTAGTTTCTTTATTTGTTTTTTAGGTATTAAAAATAATATAATAATAAAAAAAAAAATATATATATATATATATATATGAAAAATACTTGAGATTTTTTTTGGAAGTGTTTTAATTAGTTTTTATTCTTATATTTCATCATTTTTTCTCTTTTTAAATCAAATTTACACACCATGTCTTATGTATTTTCTTTGTGTAAAATTGACCAAATAAAATACTCCAACTCATTCAAATCATTTTGTACTCTTTGTGTACTTTTCTCTTTAAAAATCTTTTCGCCAAAAGATTAGACTCTTGTCAACCCTTGTAGTGATGCAAACAACTATACTTCTACAATATGTAGTGAAGTGAGATATTTTCCACTTGGGTGTTGAGTGAGGCATTGTTGATTTTAAAATCCAAGCCATATCCTCCACTTTGAGATGATGCAAATTATCCTTTCTCATGATTGTGGATAGTAGGTATGTTTTCCACACGGACAATGACGATGATGTCTTATCTCATAAAATTAACCAACACACTTGTGTTTTAAAATTTTTAAAAGAAGAACTACGGGTGTTCTGATTCCTCCCGGGATATGTAGGCACTAGATTGAAGATCCGGGCGAACGTAATAATAAAAAAATTTATTTTCCCAAATTGATTCATTCATGCAAATAGCTCTTTTTAATAGCCGACATACACAGATTTACGAAGAGGTTCCTGCGGAGTACCGTAGATGTTTAGGGTGTTAATACCTTCCCTTTGCATAACCAACCCCCTTACCTTGAATCTTTTTCCCTCTTTTTGGGTTATTCGCTCTTTTCTCATTCCTTTGGAAACAATAAAGCGCGATCGTGGTTTCTATTTTGATATGTGTAAGTCAAGTCAATCTAATGGCTTAGTCTTAAACATTTCTACCGCTACACAGCTGTCATCTCCATCTTCCACTGTGTTGACTCCATGATTACTGATCTGCAAAGGTGGTCCCCCAGCACGAACACGACGAATAACTTTCTGGGCTCCTAAAGTGAAACCCAAACCAAATTTGTCAGATTTGTAAGGGATATCCGGGAGTTTACCCCAAATAGTACACCCACCTTCTTCGACTACTGCCTTGGAATCTTTCAGTGAAGACATCTTTAGCGGAGGCCTTGTAATCTTTGGGACTTGAGAAACAGTCTTGGTTGCTGCCACTGTTTGTAGAACTTCCTTGAAATACTGAAATGGAGTTTCAACGAATTCACCATCCATTTCCATGTATCTGAAGGAGTTCAAGTGACTGGCCATATTGTCTTCTTCTCCATGGACAGTAATGATTTTTCCCTTGGTTGGGTATTTCAGCATCTGATGTAATGTAGAGGTGACGACACCAGTGTCATGGATCCAAGGTCGTCCCAATAAACAGGAATAGGAAGGGCGAATGTCCATCACATAGAAAGTTGAATCAAAGGTTTGAGTTCCAACTTTAAAGGGGATGTCCACTTCCCCATGCACCATTCTTTTTGAACCGTCGAAGGCCCTTACCACTATGTTGCTGGGTTTTAAGGTCAGACCTTCACAGTCGAGTCTATCAAGAGCCTTCTTAGGCAGCACATTCAAAGATGAACCAGTATCAACCAGGACATGGGCCAAAGTTGTGCCCCTGCATTCGACAAAGACATGTAACGCCTCGTTGTGTTTCCTCCCTCTAGGTGTAAGATCAGCATCAGAAAAGCCTAAACCATTATCAGCGGTCAAACTGGCCATACAATCTTGGAATTGGCCAGCAGAGGTTTCCTGTGGCACATGGGCAGTTTTAAGAAATTTTACCAAGTCCTTCGCATGAGCCTCGGAGCACAACACTAAAGCTAGCATAGAAATCTTTGACGGAGTCTGCCCTAGCTGTTCAACTACATTGTAGTCGCTTCTCTTTATAATTTTCAGAATTTCTTCCATCTCCTTCTTGGAGGCTTCTGGGATAGATACTGATTACGCCTTCATCCGGACAGGCTCAACCAAAATGCCTTTTTCCTGAGTATCGGTCGACTCGGCAGTAGGGGTGTCAGTAGGGGTAACCATAGGGATTGTAGTAGTAGTGTCAATAGGAACAAAAGCAGGGATGATCACAGGACCGGTAACAATTTTCAGAGGAGCGATCTCAGGGGAGAATACTCTTCCCCTTCGTGTTATTTTGCTGGTTCCCGCAATGTTGTCGATGTCGGGGTCATCCTTATTAAAAATTGAGTCTTCATCAGCCAGCCAATCCTTCTTGACGCCGTGATCATAGACGTCACCCCCATAGTTCCATGGGACAGTTTTATCTGAGGAGTACGGGATCGGCCCTGGCATAGTAATTATCAGTGGAGCCACTTTAGGAACAGATGTAATCCTAACGGGTCTTTTGGTGGAGACCCTAGAAGGACTTGCATAAATGGTTACTATTGAAACATCCTTGTAAGAAATGGTTGGAACGGGAGTTTTTTCAAACAAAATCTCTTTGTCATCCATTATGCGTTGGACACATGCTTTCAATAAATGACAACCAGTTGGTAGGGATAAATAGAGGTGGCAGCCTTCGCCACAGCCCGGAAATAAACCGGCCTTCAACAAGTTCCTTTTGATAGTCAGGAGAGGAGTAACAAGTTCATCAACGACAGTAACAAAGACGTCATCTTCAACAGCGTTAACATCTCGACCATGCTTGGGCATAGAAGTGGTGATAACATTTGGGATCTCAGGAGCATCAAATTCAATTTCTTTTGCCTCAAGAGTGTCTTGCACCTTGTTTTTCAAAGCCCAACAGTTGTTGGTATCATGCCCTGGACTTTCTGAATGGTAAGCGCAACGAGCATTAGGGTGGTAATGAGGAGAGGCGGTGTTGGAATTCTTCGGAGCTTCCTTCAAAGTTACCAGATTAGATCTCAATAAATGTGGCAGAACTTGAGACAACATCATATTTATTCGGGTAAATTGTCTTACCGGTCTTTCTGTTCTAGGATGATTGTTCCTATGTTGAGTAGGTGTAGTCTTAGGGATCATGATGGCCCCTACCGTTGGACGGTGTTCAGTTCTATCTTGATTCCTTTGAGGATACACAGCACCAACTTCTTTCTTCCCAATAAATAATTTTCTCACGGCACTGGAGGATATGTCCTTTTGGATCTTCCCACTCTTAATCCCAGCTTCCACTCTTTCCTCGGTCAAGATTAATTCAGTGAAGCCTGCTGAGGAGCTTCCAATTAGATGATTAAAGAAAGGACCGAACATGGTACTTAGAAACATGTCCACTAGCTCTCAGTCAAACAGGGGAGATTGGACTCTTCCTGCTAAGTCTCTTCCTTTCTGAGCGTAGTCTTTGAAACCTTCACTTGAAACCATAGCCATACTTTGGAGTTGAGTACGGGTGGGAGCAAGGTCTGCATTGTATTGATATTGCTTATAAAAAGCAGCGGCAAGGTCTTCCCAATTATGGATATTGACCCTCTCCAGTTGATAGAACCAATCTAGCTGAGTCCCGGATAAACTATCCTGAAAGAAGTGGACCCACAAATCTCTGTCAGCAGTGTGAGGCTATATCTTCCTTACATAAGATCGGAGGTGCATCTTGGGACACGAAACCCCGTCGTACTTAGCAAACACCGGTCCCTTGAACTTTGGTGGAATAACAATCCCAGACACTAAACCCATCTCTTCAAAGTCCAGCCCGGGAACTTTATGAATCTCCATTGCACTTAGACGTTCTTCCAGATGTTTATATTTGTCATCAGCCAGAGGATAATGCTCTTCAGAGTAATCATCGTCTTCTTCCTCTTCAGATTCTGGATGGGCAATCACTTCTTTGTTTTTCCCTTCTTGATTATGCTTTTCACCTGATGATGTTGCGAAGTCTATGGTCCATCTGGATGGCCCGGGGAACCTTCTTCCAAGATTCAAAACACTGGTTGATTTCTTTGCTTTCTTCTTATTTTCTTCGATCAGAAAATTTTTCAAATCCTCTTGTCCTTTGGCTAGAGTCAAGAACATTTGTTGAAATTGAGCATTCTGCACCTAGAGATCTTTTACTGTCTGCTCAAGATCCATCTTACTGAAATAAACAGTAGAAAGATAATGAGACTTGTGGTAAGAAACTTGTTTATGTGATAATGAATGAAGATGCATACGCAATGATTTCAAGGAAATTAGAGATTTAAATTTGCTTTAGACCAAAAAGGAACACACGTTATATTAATAAATCAAAGTTTGAGTACATCATGCCTCTTTGGGCTTACAAAGAAATACAAAAACTCTAAGATAAGAAAGTTGAACGCATCCTCTTTGGTGTGATGTAGGCGTTCAGACTCCACTCCTCATGAAGCCGCTAGGTGAGTTCCAGAACCTTCTTCTGCTGGCGTAGAATTGGGCCTCAAAAGTGTCTCGCTCCCCCTTAAGCTGTATCCAATCCCTTTGCAAGTCTTCAAGAGAGTTGGGCATGTTGGGATGAAGGATAGTGTATGGGACATCTCCTTCCATAACAGGCTCTATGATAACTGGAAGAATAGAGAGGTAAGGCATCATAAGACTTTGAGCACGGGCTCGTACCCATTTGAGATAAGGCTCAAGAGGGATGGAATTCTTATGCCCCAACGTCTTGCTATCTACCTTGTTTAACATCCTCCAAGATCGGATAAATCTCTGGCGGTGACCTTGATCTTTGTTCTCGTAGTTAAATACCAACCCTTGAATAAGCATCTCTTATGGGCCATCCCTTCGGGCGTGACCAAATTGTCTTAAGGCTAAGAAGGGGTTGTAGGTGATACCTCATCTCATGCCAAGTAAGGGGACATTAGGGAATTCTCCACAATGGTCGACTATAGTAACATTCTCTACAGATCGGGAACACCAATGGATGTCTGAATGTTTGAGCGTCATCAACCTATGTGACC